TGACTTGGTATAAAGTGAGCTTGTAGTGGTTTTTATAAAACTTGGTATATAGTAACCTTGTAGTAATATTTATAAGACTTGGTATAGAGTAGCCTTGTAGTAATGTCTGTATGACTTGGTATAAAGTGAGCTTGTAGTAGAGTTTATGTGACGTGGTAAAATATTGGCTGTGTATTGTGGTAAAAGTATGTGTATGTTGATATATGGATGTCGTAGTGTTAAGTGAGCTTGTAGTAATGTCTATATGACTTGGTATAAAATTAGGTCGTGTTAAAGTTTGTAGTGTATGGCGTGGTATAAAGTGGGCTTGCATTATTGGCTGTGTATTGTGGTAAAAGTGTGTGTATGTTGATATATGGATGTCGCAGTGTTAAGTGAGCTTGTAGTTATGTCTATATGACTTGGTATAAAATTTGGTTGTAGTAAAGTTTGTAGTATATGGCGTGTTATAAAGTGCGCTTGCATTATTGGCTGTGTGTAATGGTATATAGTGAGTGTGTGTTGATATATGGGTATCGTAGTGTGAAGTGAGCTTGTAGTATTGACTATATGACTTGGTATAAAATGAGTTTGTAGTAAAGTCTATATGGCGTGGTATAAAGTAGGCTTGCATTATTGGCTGTGCGATATGGTATATAGTGAGTGTGTGTTGATATACGGGTATCGTAGTGTGAAGTGAGCTTGTAGTAATGACTATCTGACGTGGCACAAGTGAGCCACCGTGTTGATTTCTCGGTGTACTGTGGTGCGTCAGTGAACATGAGTGCCTGACTCTGTTGTGTGTGTTAAAGTGGGCTTGTGTTGCTATTCATATCATTGTCTTTTTGCTGTGTATATCAAAGTTCGCCAGTGATGGTGTCTGTGCCACTGCCTGTGATGAGTACTGTTTAAAATATACCGTTGTCAACATCTCACTTAAAGTGACTGTGCGTATACCTCCCGTGCGCTCATCCACACTAAAATACCCGTGTGTGCACTTCTGCGCAACCACTTCGCATCCCCTCTCTGCATACTTACATGCATGTGTCCCCTTATTAGCCAGTTAGAAAGTAGTACGCGGACATACACATGTTAACCGGTATATAGGCCTTGTGAGTATACATAGCTATAAGCGAACACATGAACACATGCGTAGATACACCACTGCCCTTGTAATAGTGCCCACACAAAACACGCACTCGCAGACACACATCCCAAAGCGCCACATACGTCAATTTCCAATCGAACTGCATATTCTGAGAAATCATCTCGAAATCATCCGTGTCCAGATCAAGTCCCCACTCTTTGCGCATGTGCGCGTATCTGCGCCCTTTATTCTCTACGTCCGTCAGGATAGTGTAGGTGTGCCCGTCGTAGCACAGTGTCTGGTATTGACATGACATCAGATGCGACTCGTGCATCATGCAGTGTGCATCCTCTTCGGGGATCTGTGGCACGCCATAGGCAGTTCGGTACATGGCGTTAGATCTTCTAGAATTATGGGTTCAGATATACTATAGGTTTATTTTACATGTCAAGAGGTTGGCTTTGTGATTCATAGTACACTCTCTGAACCTGCGCATTAGAGTAACGTTGCATCTCGAGCTTCGTGACATTTTTACTTTGCACAGTCCAATGGATGTTTTTAACACACATAGGATCTCTTAGGCAGACTGCCGTGGTATATGGGCACGAAAATGGTTATAGGTCATAGTAACACTGCCATACCTCACAACACACACATAGCGGGTAGTATTTATTCGACTCAGGCAAGGAAATATAACTATGTGGATTTTAGGGGCTATCACTTAATCATGTAGAGCCATGCAGAAAGACTGAGTGATTGCAGATTTTATGATAGAAAACACCCCGCCACAACTTCTGTTCAGCGTGCTGTCTTGAAATCCAATAGAAAGAAAGAGAAAAATATATATCGAAAACCTCTTCCCAACGTCAATGCAACGAGATACTCTAGCACGTGAAAAATACCTACATGGAAGCTCAGTATTCAAGCCTGTTGTGAGCAAAAAAATACCTACATGGAAGCTCAGTATTCAAGCCTGTTGTGAGCCCCCAGAAAACATTCAAAATAGAGTACCAACACATGCGGGCGCTTCTACGTCACTGCAAAATGCAAGTGTACTATCAACCCGCCGCTTTCCAACCCTGCAACATACCCTTGCAAGTTCCTGCAATTGAGAAGGATCCGTTACGGTCACTTGCTGTTTGTGGGGCACGTTCATGTCCAAGAGTAAGACATCAGAATTAGTAAAGCAGTATGCATATATATGTAGACATCTAAGTCGATGAATCCACGTCACCGCCAGTGAATTCTCAGGAAAACAGTTGGCAGGTTTAGGAACTGTTAAGATATACAGGCAACTTCTTCTATGCACGTAAACCTACTCTCAGTGTGCTTAGCTATGCACAAAAAGGAATGACAACCTTACCCTGAGTATTGAATATCGATATATAAGGTTCAGAAGATGCACCCAAAACAAGTATAGGTATACTTTATATGTGATTCTTCGAATTCAATGATGATGTATTTAGTACTGTTTCTATCTCAAGCATTGGTGCTTGCGTCCGAACTATACAGTATCTATTGGATGTGTATATACGCGTAACCATTACTTGAATTCACATTTTGATATGTGCAAAAGATACCGGATCCTTGAACAATTATACGCCTGAGTTGTATCTCAAAACCAGCCAAAATATGAGCCGTTAGACACTACAACGAAGGTACATTTGCTCTGTGGCAATGACAAGATGGCAAATACCCGAGTAGTACTGAAGAACCAAATACACAATTAAAATTACCACAACGATAATTGAGAGATAGTTCAGTATGTCCCGAACACTTGTAGTAACGCATGAATTCATCGAATATATATATGCCAGCACATGATGTGTGCTTAATATAAAATATACGTGAAAATATCCACAAATACATACATATATATATATATATACAAGTACATACACACACACATATATATTTATATATATATATATATATGTGTGTGTGTGTGTGTGTTGTGTGTGTGTGTGTGTGTGTGTGTAGTATATAGTATAGATATATATATATATTATATAT